GTGTAGTGATAGTTTGAAAATAGCTAGATAATCGATTAGGTGTTTACGTAATCAATTATTAGTGCATTGTGTTAAAACAAGATTTTTGACAAATAATCGATTAAGTAACCACATAATCGATTATTAGTGCGTCTTATAAAAGTTGAATTTTAAGTCATATAACCGATTAATCCTTTATCTAATTGATTAATAGCGCATTATGTTAAAACAAAAATTTTGGCAAATAATTGATTATGTGATCACATAATCGATTATTAACGCGTTTTATGAAAACTTATTTTTAAGTCATATAATCGATTATCCTTTTATTTAATCGATTATTAGCGCATTGTTTTAACATATTTGATTATCCAAAGTTTAGCTTGTTTGACTTTATACAAACTAATTATCCTAATTACCTTGACATCATCAAAAAGAGATTTGCTAGTTTATCTTCCTTCTTCATTTAATCTGTATCCACATATCGTTTCTCTATATGAAATACAAGACAAAATCGAATAAATTAATAAAATGAATATATTGAAATTTTGTGATTGATCGTTCCTATAAATAATTTTTTAATTGAATTGATAAAGACAAATTTATAACAATAGTATTTATCTATCTATATATAGATATAGATAGATAACAAATATACGAAAAAAACATTCAGATATTATGTATTTATAATTATTTATGGTTTTTTATAAAATCGAAATTTTCTTAATATTAATATAATACACATTAATATATAGCTTACTTAATAATTCAGGTAACATAAAATTAATTATTTTTTAATAATGATAATTAAAATTTTAACAAAATAATTAATAAAATATTTTAATTATATTAAACATAAATATTTTTCATTATATATGAAAAACATATTTTATACAAAAATAAAATATTTTTTTTATAAACTAAAACTAGTTTATGCATATGCTTCTAAGACAGCGACATTTATATTTATTTTAAATTCTTATAATTTGTCATTCACTAAAACGTTTGAGAGTGAGGAAAAAAAATGCTACTATTTCAAATAAGGTTTTAAATTTTTAGAAATTAGTTGGATAAGTTTAGTTACTTGAATGCATCTATTATATATATATATATATATATATATATATATATATATATATATATATATATATATATATATATATATATATATATGAGAGAGAGAGAGAGAGAGAGAGAGAGAGAGAGAGAGAGAGAGATTAATGAGTTGAAGTTTTTACACACGTGATTTTTTTATAGATAAAAAGACAGAAAGAAAGATAAAGAATAATTATATATTTAAATTAGGATTTTCATTTAATACAATTTGTTACCTCACTTCTAAGTTTAACACTTCTAGAAAATCCTTGAAAAAATATTTTAATAAATAGGTTACGTCATATTTAATGCGAAACAGATCATAAACCCAGACAAATCATGTGACTCTAGCTCTCATGTAATTTTGTTCAACCAAAAAATATTGTTTTTGTTCAATAAATTTTTTTTTTTGCCATACAACACAAAAGATTATATTGACTTCTACGTGATTGATTTAAATCTTGTTAGTAAATACTCCTTTTGTTTAACTGCTAATAGGATATTCTTAAAAAAAATGTTTATATAAAAATAATCTTTTTGAAACAAGCAAATAATTTGATTAATGAAATATCTTGTCTGTGGACATATCAATAGCTATTATGTAAATGTATATGTCATGTTGATATTTTCCCTAACAACTTGACAATTAGTGGTACTTGATCCTCTTGTTTCTGGGCCTTTGCCCTTTTCGAATTATTCTTATGTACAAATTAATTGGTGTAAGACTTAATATTTCATGCTCTTTATAATTTTTTTAGTTTAGTATTTAACGGTAGACCTTTAATTATGTATTACTTTAATTGATTGTAATAATAAAAATATAATGAATTATTTATTATTCTTCCGTACTTATTATATTATGTTAATTTAATGTATTCTAATGATAAATTTTGATGATAAAATAAGAAATAAAAATTACATTTTGATTTGTCTACCTGTATTGTGTTATATACTGTACCTGTATTATCCAAAGAACCTCTTTCACCATCAATACCGATCAATAAATAATAAATTTATAGTAATCAATACAAATGAAAGCACATAAAATTTTTGAACAACATTTTCTTTAACGTACAGGTAGGAGGATGAGATTTTCATCATTTCAGATGCAGTAAATCCTATAATATGATAATGAAGCCACATCAACAACAAGCCTTGTTCAATCATGTAGACATATATAATATTATGAGTAATTAACCGGTGTACTAACAACATAAAGAGTTTTTAAGACATTATCTAATTATAACTAATATATACGATAAGTTTATTTAACAACAAATATTTTAAAAATAGACAATATTTAATTTGTAGATATTAAAATAAATTTTATTTTTAATAAAAAAATTATCTTATACCCTTTAACATTTAACACAAAATTGTCATAACTTCTTAGACTCTCTTTCGTAAAATCTTCTCTCAGTTATGTTTGCTTCGTTCACAGATACTCAAATTCAAAATTTTACTTCAACAGAAACCAATTATCAGAGATAATGACAAAACCATTTTTTTTTATAAAAGTAAATGTCTAGAAAGATAAATGGTTTGATTTTAAAATCAAACATTACATAAAGTAATAATAAAATTATTATTTAAAAAAATTGAAATTTACTTTGAATTCAGATTTAAATAAAATTTTGAAATTTACTTTGAATTTAGATTCGAATTAAATATAGGTTGATATTTTATTCGATTTTTATTTTATTTTATTTTTGCAAGAAAAATAATAATAGGTAGTCAAGATTTTTATTTTATTTTTCAAGCGTGGTTGTTTATTTAGATAGTTTTATAATATGATAAAAGCTATCAAAATAAACAAATTTATATTCTAAATCTTCCATGAGTAAATAGTAAAGGGATTTTGAATTTTTATGATATTGTTGACAATCAAAGACAATTTTTACAATAATTTGTGTAATTATTTTACAATTAAGAAGTAGTTAATCATATTTAAAGAATTAAGATAAACAAGGTGAGTTTTTTTTTTAATATTTCTTTTGGACAATTGAAATAGATAATTGATATCTCTATAATAAGGAAAACTCAATTTATTTTATATATTAGATTTTAATTAAAATCAATTACAAAATAATCAACAAATATATAAATCATATTTAAAATATTGAGATAGAAAATATAATTTTTTTCTTGACTTAAATAAAAAATCTATTTATTTAAACTAAAAAAATGTTAAAAAAATAGAAATCTATATATATAATTTTAACATGGAAAATGATATATTATATAATATAATTATAGTGTGATAAATATTAGTTAAAAAATGAAAGTTGTAAGAATAAAAGGAGGTGGTTATGATAACAGTGTAGGGTGTAGTGTAGGTATGGTAGTGATCATGGGTGGCCCGCAAGTTGAAGTGAAACCCTAGGCCCTCTTCTTCAATTTATGGTTTCCGTGTGGTAAGGGACCCTACATTTTGGAATCAAAACCTGAACCTTGCTGCATGTGCCTTTCAAATTTCTTGATATGACTTTTCTAAAGACTTTGCCTAAACAGTTCATGGAATCAACAATGATTCCTTTTCCATTCATTTTTACACCACCCTTGAGTTCCATAGAAAATGAATAACACGGAAAAAATGCTTTTAATCACGTATTTTTGTACAGTTCAGAGTGATTTCTGATTGTACAGTTTCAACGGTCATAACTGTGCGTGTGGAGTATATTAAGTAGTTATATATATTTTTTTTAAGCTCACGAGTAAAATAATTTATCAACTAATGATATTAAAAAAATAAATTATTACGTCGACATATAAATTTTTAGGATAATCATTTTAAGAATTACTCTAATAATAACTTTTTATTAATTGACAATCCATATTTTTATCGTCATACATAATTGTTTACAATTTTTATTTTTTGGAAAAATATAAGATTCTTGATTAACTCTTCCTTACTTTTGGGGTTAAATGTAATTTGGGAGATGTTTTGAAGAACTTTAATGCAAATTTCAAATTCCGAAATATAAAATAAAAGAGAATTTTTGTTAATTTTATTGCAAATCAAAATAAGTTCGAAATCGTCCAGCTCACCTTCAATTTGATGATCCCAACTCAGATTAAATTTCAACTCACCAAACATGACTTTAAACTTGAATTATATACACAACTTATTAAATTATTAATTACATAAGTCTGTGTGCCATCAAGAAACATATTTAAAAATAATAAGTATTTCCAGAACATTAATTAAGGATTTAAAAAATACAAAAAAAATGACCAACACATCTTATCATATTTTGAGTAAAAAAATGTTTATTAATGCTTTAATTTGTGTGCCTAAATAAACGCGTAACGCAAGCATATCCACATGCATGTTAATTAATCTGGAAAAGGAAAAATATGGACTTCATTGATAGAAAACATAAAAAGATTTCCACTTACAATAGTTCACATGTATTAAACATTCTTAACGTGAGTAGACAGAGCATATTTAGTGGAAGATGTGGTGAGATGAAGCATGAAGGTGAAAGCAGAAAAAATGAATGATTTTGCAGGAAAGAGAGAGAGGAGGAATGGAAGAAAAGAGTTGAACAAATATATGATATTAAAAATATATCCTCTTAAAACTTGATTAATTCTCCAACAGGGTACATTTACTGGGTGGTTCACCTCTGTGGGAAAAATGCTGCTTTCTAGTACATTTACAGTCTAAACTAGCTCATAATAACGACGACATTCTTCGATGGCCCAATTTTGTGAGGTTTGAGTCTCTCTAAAATACAAACCTCATTTATATATATATATATATATATATATATATATATATATATATATATATATATATATATATATATATATATATATATATATATATATATAAGAAAAAGAAAAAGAAAGAAAGAAAGAAACGGTGAAAAGCAAGAGAGAGAAGCAGTGAAGCAGCTTCTTCGTCTTCGATGGTAACTTGCTCATCGGAGCATGGACGTGAGAGACTCAAAAACCTCCTCTTCACAGGGAATGGTGAGACCCTTTTCGTGATCGAAGCCAAACTCTTCTTCTGCTTGGTGGAGAAGTGTTTGGAACTCGGGGCGACTTAGAAAGGAGATTGGAACTATATATCTGCTTCTGTTTTCTCCAACGTATACAACAAAGTGACCCTTGGGCACGTCCAAGCGTATGCCTTCATCGTCTTTCCTCCCTAAGCTGGAACATCTCTTGAGGATTTGCTTGATGAGTGCTGCTTGAGGGAGTTTACTTGATTTTCTCAAAGCCATTGTGTTGTGGGTTTGGAGTGACAAGAGCTAGGGACAGAATAAGGTTGAACAGAAATGTTGAAAGAGGTTGCTGTGAAAGGAAAAAGGTAATGTGGTGGTATTTATGGATAGGTTTGGGGAGATAAGTAAGTGGTAGATTCAGAAACAGAGTCATGTGGGGTTGTGGGGACAAATCATATTAGCTTAGGGCCGTCTTGGGGGGCCTATGGCTGCTCATGGGAGCTCACATCTTCCCCTTGTTGCCCTCTCCAAAGACACCCTGGCCCCCTCTCTACAAACTTTTTTTTTTAATATACTATATTTCTATTTTCAATTACTAATTATACCTTTCAAAGTTAAACAAAATATTATTTTATTGTCTCAATCTTCACACCACAATTTTCCTTCGCACGTGTCACTCTAAATTTACATTTTCTGATAAAATAAAATTTTCTTAAAAACCCCATATCAACTAAAAATAAAATACATGTCTCTTTTTTAAAATGAAAATTAACTTCAAAATTTATTTTCTCTCTGTTCTTCATTCAATCAAGGCTGTAATGAAACACAAAACTGATTATTAATGCATATAATTAAATGTGGTTTTCTGTCTCTTAACATCTCTTGTTATGTTCTTGATATATGTTTGAAAGCGTGTATAAATTTTCGTCATTCGTCCTATTATTACCTTGCATTTCATTTCATCTTACAACTTCCATTCGTGAAAACAAAATTTACTCGTTATACGATTCGCGCAAGAAGCATGCGGCAATTTCCAATGTTTCCTTTCCTTACAATAAGCTACATCAGTATAGAATTTTGGTTGTTTTTTTAAGAAAAATATTTCTGAAAATAGATAAATGATTAACAATATGAGATGAGAAAAAAAAATTAATTGTGTTGAAAATTTTACATTAATAAGATATATGTTCAGATTTATACACGTAAGTAGGCGTTTTTGTGATTTATTTTTTGAGAATAACACATATTGTAATTCTAACATGGTACTAGATTTCTTACAATTTTCATCTCTAAAATAATTTTATCACTTGTAATCAAGATGCTGTCACTACTTGTTATTAGCTTGGATCGTTGAAGGTTTTTAATATCTAGTTGTTAGTGTGAATTAGTATATAAAAAATATCATGTTGATGAGTGATACGACGAAAATAGTACAAATAAATAAAAGTAATTTTTATTTTGTAAACTATAGGTATTGAAGTCAAGTTGTATAAATTCGAAGATATTGAGTGTTTGTATAGTTTAGATTTTGAAATTTCTCTTCTCTTGACATATATGCTGCCATATGTTCTTCATATGTGCCGAAACCATACAAATTCGGAAATTCCACATCCATTCTTCAATTTTCAAACAGACAAATTACATTGAAATTTCCGACAGTGATTTTACATGAAACATCCTTCATTTTTATCTATCCTGCATATTTTTTATTAATTAATAAAGCCATACTTTTATCTATCAAGACTCCTTTCTCAATTCATAACTCACACCTTTCATAATTTATATTTAAAAAAAAAAAAGCAAAAGAAGATAGAAAACGGAAAGATATATGCATGGAGGGGAATTTTACTAAAATTCAGAAAGAATAAATGTATTTTGTCCTTAATATTTCCAGTTGTCAAACTCGAAAGGTACAATAGTGAGAGGAAGAAGCATCCCCGCAGTTTCCAATATTTCCATTAAAAGTATTTGACAAGTTTAGGAGGTATTTTTGAGAGGAAAGTCCAAAATTTGGAAAAAATAAAAAATAAAATTGAAAAGATTGTTAGCAAAGGAAGTGGAAGAATTGAAGTAGCCATGAAACACGACCCCTTTCTCAAGTGCAGTAAATAGGCCGTAACGTAATAGTCCTAGTCCGTATATGCTTCCTTGCCCTTATAATTGCATGCTCTTTTAACATCCTTTTCGACACCAAGAATGCAGAGTTGCAGATTTTTTTGCCTTGTCCCCTGCTACCATCCCCTCCAAAAATTTCACACTTTTTCGTTTTCTTATTTACTCAAACCTTTCACAATCCACCTCACTCTCCAACACTCACTAGGATTTTGCAGCTAAAACACGTTTTTGTTTTCTACATAATCTTATTCTTCTATTTTTGCTATCTTATCATCTATAATAGATCATTAGATAAGGATATTTTGCCCTTATAATCTTATTTTAAAAAAGTTTAAGTTCATACTTTGTACTTATTGCCGTACCAGTCCCTAATTTGGCATTTGTCTTGAGGACATTTATTTTTCTAGTTGGTGAAGTTAAATTTATATTATACTTCTGATTTATTGTGAAATCTATTTATTGAGCATTTACCTATTTTCTATGCGAAACAGGGATATTCACCTCTTAATAATATTAAGAGTATGTTTGGAATAAAATTTAAATTGTTATTATTAATTAAATAACATAACCACTTTTATTAGTTTTGACAATTATTTGTTTTTTTTCTGATATATATGATCAGATATTGTATTGCTTAGAATTTAAGATGCTTCTCTTCCCTATAATAACAAACCAAAAATCTTAAAACCTACTCTACAAGCTTTCAAGATCATGCGTCAATTTACCTTAACTAGGAAGGTGCAAATGTCATCTTTCATTGGACGAGATCAATCACTTTGACTTTGATTCTTCAAATCAGATATAGTAAGTACGTCATGAAAAGGTTAATAGTTATAAGATGAAAAAAACCTTGTTCATCCAGTGATAAAATATAGTGCCTAATGGAAAACAACTTTCTCTCTCTCTCTCTCTCTCTCTCTCTCTCTCTATATATATATATATATATATATATATATATATATATATATATGATAGACAAATCAAGAGAATGATATATATGCAGAGAAAATAGACAACCAATTGAAAGAAAAAAGAAAACCTTGAATTCAATGTTTTAACGTATAAAAATGCATAACCTTGCTTGTTCATGTAGATAATTTTCCACGCGTTTTCAGTAGAGACGCTTAAGTTTCCAACTAGGATGTTCCATTAAAATAATAATACAAATTAAACTAGACTAACGAAAGGAGTGATACAGATTTTGTATCTATTCTCAATTGCGTCAAATTCAAAGACTAATTTGACTTCAATGCTTCTGAAGCAATAAGGAGGAAGAGTAATTGACACAGTAAAGTTTAACGATTGAATAGAAGTTATTGCAAATTAAACAGTGAGAAGCCAACATCGTCATCAACGTTAAGCTAGAACATTATCTGTGGTGTGATGCTATAAATACTTTTAATGATACTCTTTAATTAAAAGTAAAACTAAAACTTTATTTCAACAATTATATATAGTGCCGACATTTGTTCCATAAACGATTAAAATAAAATAATTTGAATAACAGAAAAAAAAAAAAAAAAAACTTAAAAAGTTACATTATAACTCGTAAGAATTGGGTTGTGAGGAGTACAAGATGATGAAATCCAGCGTGCAAGATAAAGAATTATTGAGTTGAGAGTACAAACACATGCAATGCAATGCAATGGAGCTTGTTGGGGTTATGAGTTGACAGTTGAACGCAGGATTTCACATGCTTGCATTAAACTTTCCTGCTAGTTTTGTTGACGTACGTCTTTTCCAATCTTCTTAACATAACATGTACTCAAACGGGGGAGAATTTTTCTTCATGGGGACAACACCATCGTATATTTTATTCATGTCCTTTCATTTCATCTTTTTTATTTTCCATTACTTTTACAACTAATAAATAAATGTTCTTTCTATAGGAATGGCCACCACCACTACCCATTTCATACCAACGTCCATCTATATATATACATACGACTATCCTTCGTAGGTAGCAAATTTTTTGTCAATACAAAAGGCCATGTAGTGCCCCTTCTTCGTTTTCTTCTACTACTTGGATACCATCATTCATACAAATCAATTTTGTGAGTAAGTATTGGTACGATTCTTGTACTTTTTTGTCTTAATTAGATCCATAAAACGGGAAAGATGGTGTAGGTAGCATCAATTGTTCTGTAACAAAAATCGGGTGGACCAACTCACAATTAATTTGTTACGTTTGGACTGTTACTCTTAAGTAAAAAGAGTTCCACTCTGACTAATAGTTATAACTTTTGACCTAATGATAAATGCTTAATCTAACAAAAGGATTTTAGGATGATAAAAATGTGAGGATCCTTCTTATTTATTTCCTTCAACTTTCACTTTATATTTTATCCAATGGACCACCTTTAATGTGAAAGACGAACTTGCTTTACTATTTCATCCTCTTTTAATTCTATGAAAAGTTTGTTCAACGAAAAATATAGCAACTTTTGATTTGATACTCAACTAATCATTTTTCCACCAGACGTGGTTAAATTAAAATTAATTAAAATGCTTCCCTTAGAGGAATTGCAAATTACAATTTGAATCATAATTGTAAGGGTTAAAAATGTGGAACCACCTATCAGAAAGGTTTAGATGCTCAAATTAACCCATTCAAAGGCTTATGACAAAATATTGCATTAACGTGTAATTTAATAGCATTAAATTTAGAAACTAGTGAAGGAAAATATATAAAATACAATTATGGACTTTTTTGCTTTTAAGACACAAGTTAATAATATTACAAATTATAAACAAAAAATGATACCGATGCATTTTACATATATACTACAATATTTTAGTGATTTAAACTTATAAATATATTTACCTTCCCAATTTTATACTTTTAGGGGAAGAGGACAATGTTTTCGTTCCTTTCTTTTATTATTGTTATTATTTTCTTTTTCAATTGTAACTATCAAACAAAATGTACGAAATTGCGATGCATGAATAAAACTATGAAAAACAAATAGGCAAATGCTACTTTAGCATTTACGAGTCTATACAGACAGTTGAACTTGCAGCCAAAGTCACAAATAAATACAATATTAATGAAATTTCCAAGATGCACACTTCCCTATAGTAATATTACTTTTTTTATTTTAATGCAAAATTCAGTTGAAACAGATTCTATAACCATCATTTTTTTTTATGTTTAGGGTTTACGAACCCTAAAGCCATCAATATTATAGTGTGGGTCTTATTTAATGGGTCTATTCTTCTAATTTTGTTTAATAATTATGCATAATGTGTATTTTTAATCCATCATTTTCAACCGCACCAATTAGATACAAGAAACCCTAACCATGATAGAAGTTTTTTTTTTTTTTTCTCACTCGTCATTTCTCATATTAATTGCATTATCCATCGTAAATATGTAGAGTATATACATCTATATTTTCCTTAATTAAACTGTGTATTTATTTGTAGCATGTTACAGTATGAGCAACATGATTTTGAAAAATAATTCCCTCGTCACGAAGCTTATGATGATAAAAAATGAAAGTAACTGAGGGGGGCTTGTGACTACTAATGTAGAAGACGATCACATGCAGAGAGAGAGGGAGAGAGAGAGAGAGAGATCCTCAACCCTCTGGTAAAGGGAGTGGTTGGGGTGTGGTCCTGTTTAAAATGTACGCTGCACAGCAAACGCATGCAGCAGAGAGGGCACTAGCAATGGAGAAGCAGGGGTCGCAATCAGATATGAATTGGTCGAGAAAACATTAAATATGGGGAAGGACTAATGTACTCGCCTCTGCACTTGGCTTTTTCTGCAGAATAACTACTCTAATATCATCATTCATACCCATGTTCTATGGCCAACTCTTACAATATAAATCACCGCGTACGTGGCCATCAATGAGAGTATGTGCATGTGCATGATATGTTTATATATGTGCATGCTTTTCTTTCAGCGAGGATGATCCATATCTAACGCCCTCGCGTCCTCTTCTCCTCCTCCAAGTCATTAACTATGCCTCTCATCTCAACCAGTAGTACCTTCGTTGTACGTACCTGTGTGTATCTCTATGAACAGGCATGGCATGTGATCATCCTACATTGATTATCCCATTTCATACACCCCTCTAACTCACACTCCTCCACAACAAGGTCCCCCCACCCCACCCCCTTTTCTACTTTCTTTTTTTATTCTACGTGATAATGTGATGAATAGTTTTAGTTTTCAGGTGTGGAGCCAGGTTTATTGACATTTTCAATGGCTCACGAATAAAGTAAGTGACCAAAAGCATCAAATTTTCTTAACAATCTTATAATCATTTTCTGGTCTCTTACAATTTAAATTCCGGACCACCAAACTGGTATTAATTATGAGGAGGGAAGACGTCCACGGCATTCCATCATTGGATAATATGACCTGTTTATGATTTCTACAATAATGCTTTTTATTTTCATCTTTATTTATCAAATATTTGTTTTAGTATGTCCAGAATATTTACATGCTGTTTACCTTTATCGATAGAATTTTTTTTTCATATTTACGCGATTATAAAATTTAAACTCTTGATCACGTCTTAATAGGGTATGTATAAAATTGATTATAATTTATTCTCCATGCCACATTTCTTTTCTTGGAGAATTGGGGTGGTGGTTCGAAATCGCATAGTGTGAATGGTGAGGTCTGTTTGACTTGGACTCTCCATTTCCGAATGCATGGCCATGAGTAGCTCGTAATAAATATAGTGTGGAAAAGTTTATGACCATCCTTTCTGAACGGTGTAGTTATGAGATGGCTAAAACAAGCCTTAAATGTGAAATGTGAAGCTTGGGCCAACGTGTTCATGTTATCAGAGGTTCAGCCTTCAAAAGAGGCTACCCATGTTCTGTGATTGAGATTGGTTGGTATTTGTTAAGAACGATGAAAGAAACAGATGGGATATGCTACCCTACCACGCTCCAAGGAAGAGAGTGTATGTATATATGTATGTATGTGTATATATTTATGAAAATATACATAGTCGTTTTTAATTTTTTATTAACGGAGGTAGGAAATAGAACAACCTTCCCCTGCCACCCTCTGTTGAGCACATGCAGGCACGTTACTTTTGCACTCAAAGCTGAAGAGACATTAGGAGTGGTAAGGACATGAAGTGGCAGTAGCAAGCAACAACTTTTCTCGAATTTACCAAAAAACATTCAAGTCACGGTTACAGTTTTCCCAAGTTTATAGTTGAAAGAAGGTAGAGAGAGTAGAGGTGATGGTGGGTTTGTTTTGGTTATACTAGAAAGAGGTGTAAACAGCAAGTTGGATTATGGAGATGGAGCATCTGTGAATGCGTATGGTATTTCTATATCTTGCTAAATTCTAAGAGCATGGGCCCTAATATATGATCTACTAAAAGATACCAATCTCTAGTTTACCTATTAAATGCTAGACAACGATTAATCAAATAATTCTGGGATAGAAAGAAATCAAACATGAAATAGGAAAAGACAGAAGAAAAACATGTTTAGATTGGTATGAGATATAGGTCTACACCGACAATAGCCATCCATTTTCATGACTCAATACTTGAACAACCAATCCCCTTAATGTAGCTACTTGCTAGCTAGCTAGCTACCCTAATGTGCAGCCTAATATTCATTAATACTAACAGTGAGATACGATGCAATATTGCAACCTTACACTAATCAAGCCACACACACGTTAGGTATATATGCATCAGTTCATCTTCTTGCAGGGGAAAATAGAACCGGCCCCATCACAGCTCAGGCTTGGAATCACGAGCACCAAAGGACTTTCACAATGTACCTCTAACATGCTCAAGCACATGTGCTGTGTGACTCCAAGAGAAGTATATCATCAGTATCAAATTCGTTAGTTTGCAATAACAAAAAGTGACCACTCTATAATACCTACAAAACTATTATGCTTAGAGGGGTCCAATCCAGGGTGGAAAATTTGTTCACAATCTTTATTGAAATGAAGCTTAATCACACTTCACCCGCTTGCTCTTTAGTTCAAAGGTAGCTCAACGACTAACTATTCGGATTCATTCTCCTCCTATCTACCAAATTCAAACCAATTTAAGGACAATGAATGAATGAACGAATGGTTTCAGAAATTGTAAATAGCATGTAGCTTTCTCTGAGGAGGTCATTGAAGAATTGCCATTGCAAAGTGTGACCCCATAATTGAAAAGGTCTCTTGTTGAAAATAGTAATCAATATTTTCAGACACAAAACGAAGGAGGGGCTCGTTGAGAGAGACGTGCATGGACATCACAAGACACCGGCTATTTATTATGGACCCGCTCAAAACGATTGTTTACCACGTGAAAAGGTCAAAATAAAATCAATAGTTCGTGTGAGTAACTAAAGGTTTGTTCAAACAATTCTTGTATGCCGTATGTATACGTAGTACTTTTTAACACGTCAAACACCAATTCTTATTTTTTCTTAAAATAAGTTATCTCTTTATAGTCTTCAATTTTTGTTATGATATCCTCCAGGATAAATTACTTTGGAATTGATTATCAAGTTAAGCCTCAAAATATCCTCATAGATCTTTTCATTTTACTGCTTCTTTTATAAATAAAACACGTACAATTTAATAATCTGGTACATTAAAAATCTCTCCAACTCTTATAACTAAAACTAATCGTAATCCATATGTATGCGTGCTTAAAAAATAAAAAATAAAAAAATCACAGAATTAAGATTATTAATTAAAAATATTAATCTTAAAATCAGTTTGTATATTCATCCATCTATCTATTAGTTAGATAACTTTTAATAATCAATTATAGATCTGTATTTTTATTTTTATTTTTTTGTTCTCTAAAATAGATCAGTCACTTTAACCTTTGTTTGAATGAAATATATAAAGTGAGGAAGAAAAAAGAAAAAGAAATTGTTTTTTGTATTAGAGAGTAAAAATAAATGAAAATAAAAATAAAAATATTTATTGAATAAATTTATTTATTATTTGAATAATGAAAAACGAAAAAATATTAATACTTTTTTTATAGATAAACAATTATATGAGTCTGATCTCAAAGTTTTGCCTTTACACACTGTAATCCTTTTTTATCATTAAAAGCAAACAAGGTTTATGCGTCTAAATTCTTTTTTTATTTGGTTTTTTGCTGCTTCTTTTTTTTTTAGCAAGTTACGATGTTTATATTCGGCCCACGACAAAGGGCAATAGTACATGGGTAGTAGAAGAAAAATTGTGTTTTGGGCTGTTTCTCGGGATGCCCATGAATCACAAGTCATGGACCATTGTTTATATTCGGCCCACTTAATATCTCCATGGGGCATGAACTAAAATTAAAAATCAGATAATTGCTTGGCCCAAATAAAAGAGGCATGAAACCAAAAATGAAAACGAAATTGGATTAACCAAAAAGAAAAAGGTAACACTTCTGAATGGTCTATTCCCATCATTAGTCTTTTATTGGACGTAATCTTAATTTCGTCTTCTTGGAAGTTGGTCCGTATCGACGGAACACCACAATCTAACCCATCTTCATCGTCATGTCAAATATGGATTCTTTTTGAAAAGTGAATTTGATATAGGGAAAAACGAGAAAAAAAAAGGTAGAAATTGAAGTTTATTTGAATTAAGAGAAAAAAAATAAAAAATGAAAAAATTATATAAAATAAAATAAATTTATTTATTATTTTAATATTTTTATTTAATTATTTATTATTATAATAATTAATTTATTTAATTATTTATTATTATAATAATTAATATATTTTTTAAATAAGAAAAAATTACTGTATAAAAAAATATAATCAATTATATCTTAAGTATTATTCATTTCATATTAATAAAAGGCAATGTATATATATATATATATATATATATATATATATATATATATATATATATATATATATTATTTTTTTACTTTTTCTTATCTTAATTTCCGAGTTTTCTCTGCAAATCAACCCTTCTTTGCCTGATTCAAATACAACGTAAATGTAAGCATTAAAATTAAAATATCTTGAAACTTATTTTTGACGATGGAGATTATATTATTGTTTTTAATTTAGAAAAATAGACACGGCAATTACTTACCCTATGTTTCGAAGAAATCAGGCTAAATCATAATTATATATATAAAAAAATTAATTATAAACAATTCATATCTATCTATTATCCATCTATCAATCGATAATAAAATACATTAAACTGATTTATTATAAAAGTCTTAAAAAATATATCGGATCAAATTCATTTACTTAATTTTATAAATGAATAATTATGTATTTATTATTTTTCCAATATTTCCTGTCAATATTTACCAATCAAGTAATTAAATTGTCCCTTATATATTATTTTAAAATTATTTAATTTGTTTTTTGTTAATTTATTATATTTTTTAGAGATTAATTTAGATAAGAATTATAATCACTTAAAATGAATTAATAATTTGTTATTATTATATTAGTTTCGATGCTATATTAATGGTAATGATTAGTAATAGATAAAGTCAACCATGTTTCAATGAACGAAGATTATATTAATGGCACATCAATCAATTTGTATTGTGTTTCCCGTTCAAAGAACATGCATAGATTTGGAAAATAAATGATTATCCACATTATACACCCTCCTATCACAATGTTCTATTCAATTTCTTTCAGACATGTGACCAGTCAAAATGCCAAAACTCAAGCAATTTGTGAATCATTAATTAAGGAAAACACACAGCCACGAGACATGTCAAATAATTAGGCACATTTAATGATTTGGTACGATAAAAAATACTTCAACATTCATTTAGCCTTTGACCAACACAAACTACAAAAATCCTACTTCGTATATATGTGTACTTCAAAAGACGATGATGCTTGCTAGTATAATAATTCAATTCAAAATTCATCTTAAGATCTATCTATCTATCAATTTACTATTTATAATATAACAATTCATGAAATTATTATATAGTTTATTATATCTATTATTAATAAAAAGTTGTAAATCCTGTATTATATTTTTTAATGCATATATGATTCAATTTATAACAAAACAAACAGTTTTAGAGATTAATTTTAAAAAACTATTTTTGAAAATAAATTAATTTTTATAACTCTATTTTTAACATTATTTTTAATTTTAAAAAAATGATACAGACAGTTATAATAAAAGTTTAAAAATTATTTTAATAATAAAATAATTGATTATTGATGAAAACATTAATACCTGACATTAAAACTGACACACAAAAACTTTTTATCAAATTTACTTTTTGTAGTTTTTAAATACTAAAAAAAAAGTCTTTCAGAACTGTTTTAATAAAAATAATTATCAAACAAATTTTTTATTTTTTATTAAAAAAAAACTGTAAAGAACCAAGTACTAATTTTCTTTTTCTCAATAGTGTCCTCTGTTTTTTTTTACTACTTCTTTGTTAGCAAGTTCCAATATTTGATCACCGTATATGTAGCTTATAAAAAATTTATAGATATGGGCTTTGATTTGGGATGCCCATGAATCAAAACCCATGGACCATCGTTTGCACATATCCATGGGCATTGATTACTCTAAAAAAATCAGATCATAGTGATGAAAAATGAAAAGGAAATTGGATTGTGAGAATACAAGATGTCACAAGGTTAACTGCATCTGAATTTCTATTTCTCATCTACTCGTTTTTCAAACCAAGGGAGTTACTCCGTAATTGATGCTACACCATAATTTAAGCCATCAATCATTTTTTTCTAAATGCATTAAAAATTAGAAGAAAAAGAATTGCAAGTATTGTGGACTCACATTTAAGTTATAAAAACATAGCAATATCAGAAAATTTTGAAGTAGTTATACTTTTATTATTATTATTATTTTGTTTTATAAATACTTATTCCAAAAGTATATTTACAAGAGTTACTTCTCTATCTACCTCTTTTTTGTTTTCAATGTAACCATTTTAAAAACTTATTTATCTTTGACAATTAAATTAAGAAAATAAAATATTTACATAAAGAGTAATTCTTTCGATTACTATGAATTAACTTTACATTCTCTCTCTCTCTCTCTCTCTCTATATATATATATATATATATGTGTGATTTTAGCATTTTTGTTGATGTTGGAGGGGGAAATTTTAAACCTGAATTGGTTCAGGTTATTATGCTGACAATATTTTTATTTTTTTTATCAGTGTGTTTAAAACTTTATCTTCATCATGTTAACTTCACCATGTTATTTTTTTACATGAAGTATCACACGGAGGAAATTAATTGCGCAGAACTTTTTGTGATTTGTTGGTGGTGCACATGATTGTTTCAAATATAATACAATCTTGTCATTTAAGGAACACAACAAGGCATATTGTAACAAACTTATTTTAACAAGAGACTTTACAAGGTGGAAGGTTCTTTAATCTTTTACATCGAGGGATGATTTTCCTCTTTAATTTTATAATTGTTATATTGGTGCTTTCATTGAAAATCAGTTAACTCGAGAAAGAGCTACCCATAAAGGGTTCTAACTACGTGAAAATTCTGACCGGTAAAAAGACCAAGTAAAATATCGGGAAGTGCATCCATGGAGGACACTAATAACATGATAATTTACTTTAAGGAATACTTTCTTAGTCTATTTCAAGTTTTTTTTTTAATTTCGTGTTTTAAAGAATAAAATACTACATGTTTGAATAATATTGCCACAAACTATAATAATAGATGAGTTTTCTCACTAATGTTTGTGTGAATCCTAATCATGTATTAAAAATAACATTTTTCATTTAATTGATATTATTTCATGAATATATAGTTATTAATTTTAAATTTTTTATAATCTAATTGAACATATTAGTAAAATTTATATAAGATGGAGAGTTTTTTGTGGAGTTGATTGAACTCTAAAACAAATGTCTCCATCAAAATGTTGGATGGGATAAAAATGATGCAACACACAGCAGTACCTCTTCTTTCTGGGCTACGTACAACATATTTGCCCGACCAACACAGGACGTTTACCTTCTCAAATCTCTTCATACTGTCACCATCATATTTCACATGCCCTTTTCATTTATTTTAAGAGAAGACTCGAATCTAATATGATAAAAATTTACAATAATTCACCAACCAACTATGCTAAACTGTTCATAAATGTCATATTACAGTGTCTTGGTAGTTCTAAATAGTTGGCACCAGTAGTTTATTTAGAAGTTTCATATGGATATATATTCCATTACTTTTTCCAACCAGAACACTTGTTCAGTTAGAATATAAGAAAAGAAACTCTGAAACTGGTAGCTATAGGATTGAACTGATAAGGTTGTGTTTGAAATGCAATGAGGTGAAGATATGCATGGGAAAGTGAAGAAGTAGTAGGTGTGTGTGGTTCCAAGTTGCAATTAATTTAACGCGTTATTAAACAGTCGGTGATGGGGATTGAGAACTGAAATTGAGCACCAAGCGTATATAAAATGATTGCAAACCAATCAAACACACGAATATGCATCGCAGTCAGAGGTCACAGGTTGTATGTGTCGGCCGTTGCCACAATTAGAGGCCCGTTGTCTTCAAATTCAGATACTCTCTGTACGTACTTAGTACGGGGATGGACCACGTCGTATACGGTTCATATACGTACGTAGTTCCTCATAATTTGTATAATTATCATCACTGTACTTGTTCAAAAGAGAACCTACGTTATGGTAAATACGCATGCAGCGTGATACGCCATATAGTGAAGGTTTTCGAAGAAATTCTGGTAAAGCTTAGAGCAAGTGTAGCAATAAAATTGAAATAAGTATTGAAAATTGAAGTCTCTGTATGATCATGCATGAATAAATATTTATTTGAAATATCAATTAAATTTTCAATTTATAATAAATAATTATTGATTTTACAAAAAGATTTAAATTCAATTTAAAATAATAAAGATGAAAAGAAACAGATATTGTTAAAAGATAAGAGATTAAGAAAAATTCTTCAAGAGAATCTCATGAAAGAAAAACTCTTTAAAATGTTTTAACTGAGAGATGACTTCTAGAGATGCTTTCATTGAAGATAATTATTCTAATCTATAAAGACATAGATGATTAAAAGTTTATGTTACATCTGTGTTTTATCATAACTCGCAATACCTTTATACCTCCTCATTAAATAACTATTATAATTAATAATAGGTATAAACATTAATTCTAAACACTTTATCAGGATTTGAGTGCTTTATTTGATACATATAATTATAAGTCATTTTAACTTATTGCTTAATATTTAATATATTACGTTTATCATAAAACATAAAGAATATATTTTTTTTAAATTAATATAATTTAAATGTACATTCAAAGGGAAGTTAATTAACTTTATCAAATACAAAATTATTTTACTTAATAAATTTATTACAAATAATTTTGTAGTTTTCAAACATATATATATATATATATATATATATATATATATATATATATATATATATATATATATATATTTACGAAAGACAATTATTTACCAAATTTACATTATAAGGTGTCCTGTTTAATTTGAAATTAAAAGAAAAAAATGATTCATGAAGTTTATGTATAAAAATCTAGAAAGTTTACAATCAGTGAAGGGTAAAGAAAATATACAAAGTATTTAAGTAAGATTAAATTTGCAACTTTTTAGAAGTGAGTCTAAATTTTTCTATTATGCTCACAAATATCTCCATTTACGCATTTGCAATCTAACAAATTTGAGTTCTCTTTTAGAAATCCCTTCGCTTATTCTAACAAAGTGATACAAAAATCTAGTTTTTGTCTGAAGATATAAAAGGATTGAGTTTAACGAAGAAAAAAAGTTATACTGTGTTGGAAGATTGTAAGTAATAAATATAATCCTTGTCAATAGTTTAAATTTAGGCTTGATTGAATATTTTTTTATAAACTATAATAATAATAAAAATTATATATAAGTTATTAGTTTTAGAATGTTGACCTTTGAGAGATAATAGCATGATAAAGAGTTAGAAAGACTTTTGTGATAGAAACAACTCTATTGGTTGAGGGAAAAAAAAAAGTCTCCATTTTGTTTAATTAATGATTCACAAGTGCGTGTCACGGAGATGAATGTGTTCTTAATTCTTTAAAATGTTTGTTTTTGAAAGGAAAAAAAGAAAAAGTATTCTAAATGCTAAGGATATGCCAAGTGGCTTTTTCCTCACCCACAATGATGCTCTGTTCTTCAACAATCGATGAATTTCTACCATACCAAATATATTAATTCATTAAAAAAAAAAAAAAACTCATGGCCTGCGAAAACCATGCGAGTAAGCTTGATCTATGCTGCGAAAAATATGATTAACTTGACTTTTTCTTAAGGAAGAAATTATACACACAAAAAAAGCCTCTTCCCAAGACTAATACGGTAGTAATTATATATTCTATTTCGCAGTCCACGTTAGGAGGATTAATTACATAAATAAGCGATAGTGAGAGGAGCAGACACATTGTGAAGCAACAACATTAAACAATTTCAAGTTCGCACATTCAACTACATATATAAAATATTCCCCCAATTAACACCCACGAGTTGCGAAAGGAACGAGTGTGAAGAGGCAAAAAAGAGGGCACATTCCTGTTCAATTTTGGCAAGCATAGATGTGCATGCCTTTTAGAGACAGCCTCATACTATATATAATAATTAAGGGGGAAAATCATATTAATCATGCCACTAATAAAAAATACATTATTAGCAGCTTCACGAATTGTTGTGGAATAATTTATTTAAAAAATAAAACACATTTATATATAAAAATGATGTATAAAGAAACCCTAGTTGGGTTTAGATTATGCAGCAAGGTATAAGACAACAGCCAACCACGTAAGATAAGAATTTTGGATAGGATGTTGAATTGAAGGGTAGAAGATTCATTCCTATTATATGTTTGGAAGCACTCGATTACTTTCCCTGTTCTAGAAAAGAAAAAAAGAAGAAGATGCATAATATGTTATGATGTGATTTATTAAAAGAAAAGAGACAAAACGGTGGCATTGATGTGGTAACTGAGAGAGGGATTCACATATGGGATGAAGAATTGTTTGTAGAAAGATTGAAGAAAGAAAGAGAAGAAGACAAACTAAGATTTGGGTGGTTGTGTTGTGCGTGGCATTGGGATTCCAAGGGAAAAATATATGAAAAGGACCTGACATGTCCCACGCGGCGTTATCTTATCAGGTCGCAAACCAGCTCGTATGGGGTACCTGCTTATTCAGAATCTATACTCTATACTAATTTTATACTTTTTTTTTTAATATTTTTTTACCATTTTATTCTTGTTATAATAGGATAATAATATTATGGTCATAACTGATTTATTTATGATAGCTGTATTTTTAAATAATTGTGCATATAATGAATATTCTTTATTATATTAAAAAAATCAGATATATAAAATAAAACCACAGGCAAAATCTACCTGGATGTAGGTAATCAGTAACTACTTTTGATTTTTGAGGGTTAGCAACTGATGAGATCATTATGTTACTACCTATCTTTGTTCTTGCTAACAATCTTTTCGAGGATGTTTTTTCATTTTATTCTTCAAAACGGTTATCAATACATATTCAATTCAATTCTTCTAAGAGTAAAAAATATTGCGTTTGAATAATAGGATACTATTGACTCTAGCACTAATAATCTCGTAGCAAAATTTAGATTATGTTTCTTCAAGTTTTTTATTATATGTAACGTATTCTTTCTTTTGTGCTTCTACCCTTCTATTCACTATACTCATGATTAAGACTAAAAAGAAAAAAACATATTTATGTAATATAATGGATACGTATTTCCGAGTTAATGATTTTTATTTTATTTTATTTTTTTGTAAGTTTTAAAAATAGTTTTAGAAATTATTTTTGAAAAGCGGTTTTTACAATAAGTTTGAAAAAAAAAACTATTTTAATAATTCTAATTTAAAATATGTTTTTAGATAAAAAAAAAGTTAAATTAGAAGATGATTCCATAATTTCATGACAATATAAATGATTGATGTACCACAATCACTAAGAAAAATGTGCATAGTAATAAAAACATAAAACTAAAATATATAATTTTTTTCCTTTAGAAATTATTTTAATAAAAAAGCGATTAAATATTTTTTAATTTAAAAATAAAAATAAAAAATTAATAACTATCGTTAAAAATTTTAACTGGGTAAATGATGTTGAATTTATAAAGAAAGTTTACGATTTAAAATGATAAAAAAATATTTATTTTCATCAAAGGTTGAAGATATAATATAGACATATCTTAAATATAATAATTAACCTTAATAATATTATTTAATGAATTTATATATAAATAACCTTACGTAGACATGAATAGTGACCAAGTCAAACTTGATTTATAGCATTCTTTAGTTTGAACAAATAAAAAAAGGAAAATATTCTTCAGTTACGTTTGCTTTATAGAAATTTGAAGGAATGTTTTGTGTGATGTGAAATTGAAATTGCGGCTAATTTTATTTGAAAGGAAGAGTCCTGAGGGTTAAAAATGATATAGAAGTGTGAGAGTAATTTTTCAGGAAAATTGAAAAACCAAGGTTCTGGTATCTAATTAACTCGTTGAAACTAAATATGAAACTAGTTTTAAGGAAAAGCAAATGGGAATTAGAGATGAAAAGAGAGTGGCTACTAGGCAATAACAGTTGAAACTTTATTCTCATTTTGTTATCATTAACTTTATTCTCATTTGATCAAAGGTGTAAAGTGGGTAGGCTCCGACCAAAAAGGAAAAAAAAACTTCTCCCCTTGCTCTAAAAAAAGAAGGAAAAAGTAAAAGGGTATGGAATATTAGTATAAAACATTCTTTGCTCCATAAGTTGGAAAATGACAGGTACATAAATATAGGTTAACAATGTATCCTATTTGAGCAGTGGAGAGTGCTTGACAAAGACGATAATGCCACTGTTCACTTGTTCTTCGACTTCAAAGTACTTCCTCCTTTTGTTTCCATGATTGACAAAATTAAGTACTATATCACCATTAATCAATTTGGATAGCTAAATTGCAAAATTATCATTTCAAATTTTTAACATGCATAAATTCACCCCTTCTGATTCACTATGTAAAGTAATACACACTTGTTTTTTTTAAAAAAGTTAAAATGCTAATCACATAAATTATGATATAATAAAATGATTGAGTCACATAAAAATATGTTTATTAAAATAGAAATTAATTATAAACTATTTATTACTAAAAATGATTGATATTGCATTATTTTAAAACAATAAACAGTGTTAGATAAATAAATATCTCTAGAATACCGGATAATGTGTAATAAAAGAGAGTATATATATACCTCTTGAGTCTATTTAATTGAGTACATATAAGACCATGTGAATTTGATTTAATATTTTAAATTTTGTTACGAAATGTCCCTTTTATGCATTATTATAATGGTGATTGATAGGCAATAAGGCAGGCCCAGTAGCTTGGTCCTCTATGTAACAACCGCTACAGCTGTTATTATCATTCTTCAAAAGAAAAGAAAAAAAATAAAAACTTGTGATTATCAATTTATCAGATATATCCTTTTAGTGTAGGTCCATAAAAAAATTTCCACTCATCCATAAAGAATTTAAGACAACACTATAGTTACAACAGACACGTAAGAGTGACATTAAATATTTTCGTAATTTATACATGCTTTTAATAAAAGAGGGTGCTTTAAATATATAAAACTATTTTTTTTCCAACACTGATATAAACAATATATAGGTGTTAATAAAAAAAATCATTGTAAATTATTGCAGATAGAATACATTATTTGCTTGCTGCAATAAAATCATACAAATATTAAAAAAATTAATGAGTTAGTTACTGGCGTTTAGAAAAATGATTGGCAGAGTTAAATTAAATTCCAGATATTTATGCATACCGACCGATTTCCTTTGCATTTTGTTTCCACAAGCAATTCACGAATCACGGGCCGGACACAGACAACATCCAAGATTTCACGTGACATTCACGTGTACTTACATAACTCCCAAGTACTGGGACTCATATTTATACTTTTAACATCATCAAGGTTTTGAAATTCTTAAACAATTCACAATGTGCTGTAGTACTGTACACGCAAAAATTAGAAACAGAAAAATGAACCTCATTAATTATTTAATAGTTTGTGTCTCCAAAATTAAACCAACAGTCATTGCAATTTATATTGTCTAAAACATAAATAAAAAAAATCTAAACTATGTAAGTATGATATTAAGATGGTTATGATCATCGGAAACTGGTGGAGAAGGACAATTATTTTGGGCCACTGAACTGTACAGCGGTTTGATATGGTACGCAATAATATGAGAACCGCAAAGAAACTGCAACAACATGATATGATGAAGTTTTTTAAGGTACTGCGCATCCGTGCATGACAACTTCGCGAGTTTCAAACCATTTTAACAGAAAAAAAAGTTCCATGATTTTGCTCACAACAGATATTATATAACAAGAACTGCTAACTCAGATTTCTTTTTGTTTGCATCAAAGATATCTTTGCAACACAATTTAGCTTTGTTTATAATTAATAGGATAAAAAAATTAAATATAAAGCTGTATGAAGTCTTGAACGTGTGTTATTAATCTAATTAAGCTGTCGTACACATGACGTACCGAGAGTGTGTATTTATATATTTTTTAAAAGGTTGTTAATTAATGTATGATGAAATTACATAAAAAAAAAAAAAAAAAAGAATTAGGTGGGTGCATGAATTATAGAATTTGATAACTGTAGACTAAGGTATAGATGGAATTTGGAAAAAGAATATACGGAGAAGAGAACTAGAAAAGGAGAAGGATAGGGGAGTGTCAATGAGATTCAAGGAAGAATATGTGACGAGAAGAGAGGAAGAGAGAAGAGAGATGTGAGATGTGAGATGTGATGGGGAAATTGATATGATATGATATGATATGCTCGATATTATCATGTCATGTGGGTAGCATGGCACTCTCATTCTCATCTTTATTTATTACGAGACACACTCACTATAAAGAGAAGCAGTGACGCCAATTCTCATTCCCCCTCACTTTTGGCTTCAAAGTGATTGCTGACTCCTTATTTTCCTTCTTCCCCTTTCCTTTCTCTCCCTTTCATTTCCTCTCTACTCATGGAAACTCAACACCAACAACCCTCCACCAAGTCTAGGTTCAGACGCATCTGTGTTTACTGCGGTAGCAGCCCTGGCAAAAGCCCCAGCTACCAGCTCGCTGCTGTTCAACTAGGAAAACAACTGGCAAGTATATACTAATTTCAATCACAAACCAATACGCAAGCTTTTTATTCACTTTCTATCTTTAAAATATAATTGCATGTCATGGGAAAGTTATAATTAATTGGAAATCACTATATATGTATGTATACAAGATAGTCAAATAATTTCTGAAACCAAAGCAAAGTGTTGTAGAATTGTAGCTAGTATTGAATTGAGCCAGGGGTTGAGGGTGAATAATATATGGTTAATTTGAATAAAATGTAAGTATGTGTATGATATGTATGTAGGTGGAGAGGAAGATTGACTTGGTTTATGGAGGAGGAAGCATAGGATTGATGGGGCTAATCTCACAAGTTGTATACGATGGTGGACGCCACGTGTTAGGGTAACTCACCGCTCCCTTCTTCTGTCTCTTTCTTCCTGTATTTACATATGCTCATGAATCTTCTCGCTGGTACAGGGTCATTCCAAAGACACTTAATGCAAGAGAGGTACAGTACTATCTATTACTTGCTTATTCCTTCTTTTTCACAATTAGCCTCATAATTCATTCAAAAAATAATACCAGTGGAATTCACAAAAGTTGCTTAAATCGTGTGTTCAGATCACCGGAGAGAGTGTCGGAGAAGTGAGAGCCGTATCGGGCATGCACCAACGCAAGGCAGAGATGGCCCGACAAGCCGATGCATTCATTGCACTGCCAGGTTTCTCTTCTTCTTCTTTCCCCGTCATATTCATATTCTCCTCTTTCCCTTTTTCTAAATTCTCTCTTCTTCAACTTTTTGGATAACTAGATATTATATTATCGTTGTCGTTACTGTTTTTCAAACAGTAACATTCTTGAATAACGTACTGTCACCTCTCAAAACCTTATTCACGCTCTATTCAATAATTTTTATTCCCATCCAAGTTTTTTATACCAATCATTTTATTAACTAACAAATCCTGCAAGCAATTTTTTTCTTTTTGCATTTTTCGCTTGTGAAAATAAAATAAAATAAAAAAGGTATTCGTATATATATGTTTGTTAATAATTTCTCATCCTTTGTTGACATTCTTTTCGAAATCGAAAGCGCTTCCCAAGATAACTGTTTCTGTAACTGCCAACCGTATGTGTTGTATAATTCCAATTCTTCAGGGGTGATTCCTATGAAATTCCTAGTATTGGCAGTAATAATAATTGGTTGCGAATTTATGTTCCACCAGGTGGATATGGCACCCTTGAAGAACTGTTGGAAATTATCACCTGGGCTCAGCTAGGTATCCATGATAAACCGGTAAGATTTCAAACTTAATTAATTGTATAAGATAATTTGTTTTAGTTTCTACACAAAAGCCTTTTTCCCGTGATAGGGTTTTTTTTTTTAGATGCTGACGTCACACGATAATAAAGTAATTGATTTAACAAAATGATCCGTTTATTAATTAGTAATAAATGGGCATTATTAGCGAGAATGCTTTTGATTGAGGAAGTCAAAGAAAAAGACAGAATGATTATTTTTGGAAGCTGAATGCTGACTAATGATGAAGCAATATTAAAGAGAGAGAGAAAAAAGAAAAGAAAAAAAAAAGGAAGAATTTGGATTGATTAAGTTATGGTTTTAATTAACGATGAAAATGGAAGAAAAGTGATGGGAGTGATATGGTTGCAGGTGGGGTTGCTGAACGTGGATGGGTACTACAACTCGCTGCTGGCATTCATGGACAAAGCTGTGGACGAAGGTTTCGTAACACCTGCTGCCCGTCACATTATTGTTTCTGCCCAAACTGCCCAAGACCTCATGTGCAAACTTGAGGTAAATAATACTATAATGATGTTATGTTATGGTACATCGGAATCAGTTGTAGAGCCTATAATATGTGCACACGTGGGACAACGTGGTGGGTCCAATCGAATTTATCTGAACCGTTGATTTTCCACTTTGAACAGGAATATGTCCCCGAGCACTCTGGCGTGGCCCCCAAGCTAAGTTGGGAGATGGAGCAACAGTTAGTTAACACTGCAAAGTCAGACATATCCCGTTGACTAAAATTAGAACCACACTAATGCACCATCAAAAACCCTAGGTTAATTTTTAATTTAGGTTATAAGTATAACCTCAACTAAAATCTTCCACAGAATAGGTTTTTAGTTCGCCTGTGGATTGGGTCTCATCATTTGTAATTTATTTGGCTAAGCTTCAAGTTCCAGATTTTCACTGTGTAATTTTCTTTCTTCATTAATTTGCTTTCGCGGCTCATACCGCTATGTATTTTGATTTCTTAGCAACCAACTAATTGTGCATTAGAATTTGACTGGGATGATAGAGATGGTTATATCATGTGCATATGCAATGTGCATTTTGTGTAGTGTCGTGTCGTGTCGTGTCGGTGATTTGTAATGGTATCTAAGTTTGAAATATAAATATAATTAATGAGTTGTTGAATACAGCTCTTAATGGAAAGAATTGATGTGAATGGAAAACAATGATGACACGTTGAAAATAGAGAAATGGAAGCGAGGAAAAAAATAAAATAAAAAAAAAATGAAAAATGGTTGGAATGTTGACGTGATTCACATGATGAGGTTCCATTCTACGAGCATCTATCTATCTATCTATAATGTGATAGAGGGGTTATTTTTTATGTGTGGTGGGTTCCGGGACGGGACCCTATTCCTTTTTTTCTTTGGTAACTACTCCTTCAGAAAAAAAAAAAAAAAAAGAGACACTTTCTGAGTCTTATTCTAACCAACCTTACAGGTCCCACTCTTTTTATGGATGAATGAGGATAACCCAACCACACTTACCATATAATGCGCCATCACAAATGCTCTCAAGAATACCGTGTTTCAAATTTTTATCATTCACAGTTAAAACCTCATCTCCCTTTTATTTTATTTATTTTTTCTTTTCAAAAGGGAGACCCTGTTATTAGCTGAAAGGGGAATGAATGGGCATTTTAATACTTCATTAATTTCTTCTTAAAATGTATGCAAATTTAGATATACACTATAGTCTACAAAATTCCAACTTTAACACAAAAGTATATATAGATGGTCACTGTAGTAAAGCAGACAAACTTCAAACAATCTTAAATCGTGGTTACATCGTCATTTAATCGACATAGTATAGTGGGACATTTCGGAGTTTGGCCTCACAATTGGAGCAGCAATTTTGGGGGATGGTTGAAGAAATTGTTGATGAATCTTGAATAATTTAAGGGCTGAAAAGAAACCTCTTCTTGGACCTACTCAATCCACAGCGTCCACGCTGCCTCGTCAACAAAATAAAAGGGAAGGATAAATAAAGTGGTCATCAACCGAGACTGTCCCACATCACACAACTTAGAATATAGAATATGTTTGGACATTTTTTTCATAACTTTTTTAGAGCCAAAAAAAAAAAAAATACAAGTTTTTGGAAATTAAAATTAGTTTATGTATAAATTAAAAATAAGATAAATTACACAAAAGGGTCTATACAAAACTTAATTTTAAGATATAATATTTTACTTATCTAAAAGTCTTTATACATGAATTTGTTCAAACAAATGCTTACAGTGTTGAATGAATTAGCTATAAACTACTGACATTAGAAAATAGGAACCAAGGATGCACAGGCGCAATTATTATTACATACCTTGGCATATGCTAAAACAGGAAAAATCTCTTAAACTCTTCAACAATTACTATCTGTGTTTACATCGAAGAACGTGAGAGGAGAGAATAAAATATGTGGTAAACGTATATAAACTTTTGTGTACTTTACTAACGGTAACAAACTGTGAATTATCAATGATCCAAGAGACAAAACAATTTACACTTTTCCATACGCTGCATCTGAAAGACAGGTATTTTAGAACAATTGTCCTCATGCATGTGTCGGCCAATATATTTACGATGAAAAGTTCATTCATAACATTCTCTGAACTTGTAAGTCTGAAAAATTTAAGATGTGCATCTTTATTGGATCAAGACATATGACAGAAGCCTCTTGATCCAATTGTTGAACTCAAACTAAGAGATGATTAAAGTGTGAATCGATTTTCACATGAGGAAAATATCCAGCATGAACGAGTATAATATAATGATAGAGGAGAGGATGCAATAATGTATAGGGTGAAAGGAACAAGAAGGAGTGCATGGGCACGTGGAGAAGGCATTTGGGTACTAGAATGAATGGGAACTGGTCACGTTGTCATTCTTTCTTTATTCGACAAAAGGTGGCATGGCAGTGGAATGAATGGGAAACTAGGAAGGGGATGAGTATGGAAAGGAAATAAAAAAACCCTTTTGGCCTACCTTTCCATTAATTACTTTTTCTTTTCCCATTTTTCATCTTTTTGCGTATTGGATAAGCATCACCCTCGTTCATAAAATTCAATTGCGTGTTTTTTATTTTATGCTGGTCAAAAAGATTAAAGAGAAACCAAAAGAAAGTGATTATAACATTGATCAACTCTTGTTTAAGTTCTGCTAATGGCTTCCGTTTAGTGACATAATGAATTTAGTTCATGTCCCACCAGAAGAATCATCGTTTAGCTTTTCCTTACTTTTCATTAATTAATGCGTATTTGGACTTTAAACTTGGCTTCCGTTTTCGCATGTTCTTTTGCCACTTTCACCCCAGTTTCACCGTCAAACAGAGTCGACATTAATACGTACCCTCTGAGTTCTGTGAAGGGAAACAAAATCATTAGGGTTTTGAAAGTTTGGCGACCATCACGAACTTAAGCTTGGACTTGTTCGCTGAAATTCTAAAATTTTGGGGTCTCCGCATGACAACTTGCTGCCACAACAATTCCTGTTGAACCCAAAAGTAAACATTCTCGTCTGCTTCTCCCTTTATGCATTCAAATCAGAAGGTAATATATAGCTTCATTTTTTGTTTCCATCTGACTTTTTCTTCACCATCTTCACGTCGCCTTCAACTTCATCTTACGCCATCTATGATTTTTTAAACCTCCTCCATTGTCTTGTACATTCATCATTTCTTTCGTTAGAAAAGCCACAACAATATCCACCCTTTTCTATTCTGTAAGATTGACTATTGACTATATATAATCAGTGCTGGAAACAAGCTTTTTCTATTAATTAAAGCTGTTGAAAGTTTAAACACTACGACTGTGGCTTATTCAAATGAGAGGCGTCAAATTTGTGATTTTAATAAATTTTATATAATAATATATACCATGTTAGAATAACATATTAAATTGTTTTATTTCACTACAATATATATATAAATTAATGTTACCACGTTTGTGTATGAATTATTGAATCCGAAATTCTTTTCATTTAGCTATAATGTTATCTTCATTTAATACTTTCTACTAATTGAGGTGTATATTAGTGTTTATTTCAAATGAGCAAGATGTGTCTTGATAGAGAATAAATTCTCTCGAGTGGGATTCTCAAAGAATGGTTTAGCCCACAATTGTCTTGCATATCATACAGGCTGATGGGTCATCTGCAACCATTTAAAAAATAAAAATAAAAATAAAAATGAATCAAAAGTCAAGAAAACAAAAGTAATATAAAAACAAATACTGTCACTAGCTTTCTTGAAAGAGAAGAGGTTAGTTTCAACCAAGAATACCAAATATTATTGTTCTTCATAATATTGAGTTTATTTTTATTTTTTAATATTTCTTTGATAAAATAAATATATGCTTGCATTTTATCTGGTGAAAATCTTTGTTATTAAAATTTCTTAATTTTATGTCTTTTTTATTATTTAAATTTATCTCTTTTATTTAATTATAGTTATACATTTATTCTTCATCTCATCATCATTTTCTTATAATCTAATAATTAAAATGAGTTATTATTTTAAAATATTAAATTAAAAAGAAATAATAAAAATGAAGAATAAATATCATCATAATAAAACTTAGAGTCATCTTAGTATATTGACTTCCATTGATATTTAAATCATTTTAGCGTTAAACATTTTGAGTGACAAATCTTATTTTGAAATCTAAAACGGATCCTTGTAGTAAGTAGGATATAAAATCTCCTATCTTATTCAATTCTTACTTTCATACTAAATCTTATTTTAAAATGTTAAATAACTTCTGTAGATTAAGGTATTGAATTTAATTTGGTATTTTATTTTCAAAATCTTGATATTCTTTTACAAGAAACCAATCTCCTGATCTTAGAAATAATAGATATTGTTGCATTCAAGATCCATAACAACACATTTTCTCTCACTTGTTTGGTTGCAAGGTTTTTATTTTGTTAAAAATTGTAAACTATGAAAAAAGATTCATTCAATAGGATCTGAGACCTACAACATTTTGTGATTTCAATAAATTTTAACAATTAAAAAAGGTATATTCCTACCATTTCTTGGATTTGAAATACTTCTTCATTTCATCCATCCCAATACAAAGCAACATCCAAGGCACATAATGCGCGAAATCTTGTCCAAAGCACTCCATACAGTTGTACAAATTTTGTCACCAGTCACAGATTGATCTAATTTCAATTTTAACAAGTGGTGATGTGTACCACGGTATTATGAAGCATGCAAGTAGTGTTATTTTCTTCTTATCTTGTTATATTTCTGTTAATGAAGGAAAATAATAACATCATATCCTTTCCTCCTAACTCTTCTTTGAACAATAAAGGATCACTGCATGTAGGCAAATGATCATGTGCGACGTCAGTACTAGGTAGTCGTAGATGCCAACAAAATGTACTATGTCGAGAGTTGGTTATGTCAAACAAATTGCTCGTACTACAGAATGAAACAAAAGATCAATAATGTGATCAGAGTCTAATGATAGAAATAATGGCAGAAGCAGTGATTAATAATAAATTTTAAAAATGTGTTCTACAAACAACTACAACAAAATAGCTCCACACCTGCTGAGCTAATAATGCCAGAGCAAACTACACCCGTACATTTTCATGGCTCAGGATTTACACTCATACAATCAAGCATATCATTACAATATTATGTTTCATGCTTTTCACAACACTTTCCATTTGTCACGATCGGGAAATGAATAAAGCTACAAAAAACACATACCTATGCCAACAAGTGCAATTGAGGACGTAGAGGAAGATACAGCTTAGGTAAAGGATTGAACAATAGAAGACGTGGTGACTAAACTTGATAGGAGACCGACTATGACAGCACTGTTGTACGTGCTTGGTTCTGTTTGCATGGAATTGTTCCTGGCATCAATGAAAGTCTCATTCATGAAGGGTCCACCAACAAGTGCTCCAGTAGCTACATTGGGATTGGGATCAGATGACTCTAGCCACTTGAAGCCATCCTTGCAGCCAGTTTTTGTATTAGAAGGAATTGAAGCACCCCTATGATGCACGAATTGCGGGAATTTATCCCCGTAGCCCACCAGAAAACTCATATGCATAGGATTCTTGCCCAACACGTAATCAGCCTGAGAGTATTACATAAATTTTATATTTGAGCATGGATCATTTCAAACAGATATTTTGTGCAATTAATAATGCATGCATACCTGAGATTTGGCAAAGTCTCGAAGATCTGATGGGGTAAAGGAATCTGAATCACATTTTAGTTTTGGTGTCTGCGATGTTAGCATATAGTCACTGTAAACAACAGCTAAGAATGCAGATGCAACAGGATGTTGCAGAGAGTTCCATTCGCTCACCCATATAAGACCATCTGTGTCATAGAAAAGTAACAAGTTAATTACATAAAATATAGAAATAGAAATATTAATCTAAAAATTAAATTCAAACGTTTAAATTTCAAAAAATATTTTTATCCAGGAGCAATGATTATCATATGATAGGCCAAAATCTATGCAAGAAGTTATAATTCAGTACTAAGTTAATAGTTAGTTATTTCCTATGTTTTGTAGAGGAAACTCCTTATTAGAGGGAAACCCTGTATGTGTTAGGGGGAAACATTGTGTTCGTACTAAAATCTGCCCTTAAAAAAAGATTATTTCTATCTATATTCAGAAATCGGTTGAGGAAGATGGACTATCGAGTGGAAGCATAGGAAAAGCATGCAGAGGAAATGAATGTCAAGGAGATGCTAAGATCCAATTATCACCATAATGATTATGGGCAAAAAATGGGAAATGCAATCCAAGACATTAACAGAGATCTTGTAGAAATGAGAGAAAGGCCTAATAGTTTGGATACCATTCCACCATTGTTGAAGGATTTGGATGTGCAAAAGGAGCTAATTGATAATACCCAACAGGAAGTTCTAACCTAGTCAACCCATGATAAGGGCATTTCAACACTCGCTCATACAGCTGTTTAGAGGGGAATACAGATGTGTTTAATTAAAAATGCAGTGCAGAAAGTAGAATTACCCACTTTTGATGAGCAAGATTCAATTCGATGGCTGGCCAGCTTGGAAAAATATTTTGAAATTCAAAAGACTAAACCAAAGGTCAGGGTGTCCATGGTCGTCATTTGCACGGAAAGGACTACTGCACACTGGTTAAGAATATTTGAGGAAGAGACTAACAAAGATTACATGGGAGTTTTCATGGGTTTTCTAGCAGTGGAACTGAAAATTCCTCTGAACAATTAGAAGCCATCTTCAACCAGAATCAATGGAGTAGTGTGGACAACAATTTGAAATATTTTTGGCCCAATTTTAACTGAGATTACAGAAGAATTGACTTAGGATTTTTTATGAATGGTTTGAATGATGTGCTAAGACAAAAAGTGAGGACTCGTAATCCACAAACTATGCCTAGAGCCATTCATTTAGCCAGAAAGATTGAGAATGAAAATCTGGTGATAGTATGAAGTTAGGTTAGGGAAAAAAATTGAAATCCTCAAGTTCCTGTTTGGTGTGCTTCGCTTCAAGTGGAGCAGTTACAGATCAACACAAGGATGGCATTTTTACTAACATTAGGTCCAATCGCTTGGCTGCTTAGAGCCAAAGAACAACATTCTGTTTCTTCTTAGTGTGAAAGCAGGCAGAAATACATTGGGAACAGGTGCAAGTTTTTCTTGTAGTAAATTGTTTAAAACTGTGGCACTGGCATTTACCATATTAAAAGAATGTTAAAAGGAGGGAAAAAGGTAATTTTCCATGTGGCCAACCATTTGGGCCACTTCATCGGTGTCTTGAAAGGAAGTCACATCTGATAATTAGCGGGAAGATGATGATGTGGGAGAACAAGAAAAATTCAAAGGGGTTGAATTGATGAAACCAAATTCAAATGTTGATCAGCAAGAAACAGTTCCGTATTTCAGACTTGGTGAGGACAGGGCTGCTATTGTACTGGAAGGCATTGACAGTTTAAAATTTAATGTAGTTCTGTATTGGGAAGTTATTAAAGTTGTTTTTATAATAAATTTTTGGATCAGGCAATGACAGATTATGATGCAACAGTTAATGTAATATAAAAGTTGTGTTGTAGACTGGTAAAAGAGAATTAAGTCGTACAATTGTTATTTCATGTGTTTTTCAGAAGGGAACTCTTTCATGGATCTTCATAACCATAATACATTCTAATCTATGTTCTAATAATGCAGACACTCATGGGGTAAAGTTGCAAACATTTGACCCTTTCTTGATCCCTCGAGTAGAAGACTTATGCATGTGGCACTGGGCGGCTAACTAACAAAGATTTCAAGATGTGAGATATGAGAAATGATAGGCTGGGAGAAGAGAAGCATATGGTTAAAGGTATACCAATAAAATCATATAGCATTCAAGGAGAATATTACCATCTGTTCTGTTTTTTGTGGCTGTTGGAGATTCTGGAAGAAGGCCACACATTACAGCCTCAGCTGTTTTCCTGTAACTTTGGAGCCCAGAGCCATACGAATTTGAAATGTCCTTTGCCTTAAAAAAGCTTAATCTAGCTAACAAAACCTGCACAAGCAAGATTGAATTATTATAGGAAATATATGTGAATAGCATAAGTCAGCTTTGTATAGTAATATTATAATTATTATGACTTGAAGCTTGATCCTGAACAAGAGAATGCCACAAGACTCTTAATTTAACTCAACTCCGTTCATAAGACAGAAATTTAAGCGGTCATTTTGTCTTTTACAATGTGATGTGTAGGAAAGAAGGTTGCAATAAAATCTGAAAAGGCATTCTCTATAGCAACAATCGTAACACTAACGGTTGGCCTCGTCAGTTAATGAGTTCTACTGCGTTGTATGAAGATCGTGAAATTTGACATGTTCATAACAGTACTGGTAGATAACAACTTAAAAATAAAAAATTAAAAAAAATAAACAGGGAGCTTGATGAAAATCATTCGAGGAATGTGTTAATCAGATTTTTGGCAAACGCAAATGCCTACTTTCCACCATTATCATTTCTTATACCTGAGTTCCAGCAAGCTTGTTATCCCAACTGAACCAGGTTGGGCTTCCCCAATCAGCATAGTCTTCTCCAGCTTGGCCAGTCACAAACTGAAGGTAAGAATCATCAGCCGTAGCATGATAGAGCCAGCTGGCAGCCCATAGAAGCTCATCACCATATCCAGTGGAGTTATAATATGTCTGGACTTCGGGTATACTCTTACTATAGTATCCCCTATTGTTGTCAGCAAAAGTAAACAACTGTTTAGCATGCTTGAGGAGTGTGCTAGAATACGTAGAATCAGTTTTTTTAAAGACCAAAGATGCTGAGGCCATAGCTGCTGCAGTTTCAGCTGCAACGTCTGATCCAGGATAAGATGCATTCACTTGTATGAGTGGTCGTGCCTCAGTCATGTCTTCTGGTCTTTCCCAACACTTGTGATCTGCAACAGGATCACCCACCTGCCATGATGAATTTAACACATGAAACAAGTTAGAAAAGAAAATTAAGTGGCTGGGCATAAAAAGGAAAAGGAGCAATCAAAGTTATTCAATCTCAATAGCCTGCTCTGAACAAAATCCCTTGTCCAATTTCACGGCCTGCCATAGGATTAACACCACAAGCATACCAATTACCTTACAAATAGAAAGCCAATTCCAGAAGAACATCAATATAGATTTGATTTTAAATTCAATAACTGTGAATGCAGCAGTTTTTCACTGTAAGGGAAAATGTAGCGTCACCATCAGCACTAATAAATATCTTGCACTTCCAGTTACAAGATTTAATTGTTTTTCAAATAAATAGCTCAACGTAACTCAATTATTGCGTAGAAAGTCAAGTCTTATATTCAAGATAAAAGAAAAGTCAAATCCAAATTTAACCACACAGAACACTCCAAGAATAATGGAGTACCCACACAGAAAAGACAATAAATTTATGCATTCACAGATGCAGACTAACTATCTTGCACAACAAGGTGGCATAAAACCAATGTTGTAAAACACATAAACCTGAATGTAAAGAACATTGGCAGAAGGGTGAGCATGGATGAGATAATCAGTGATCCACTTGAGTGACTCTTGAGCCGAGTCTAACTGGCCCACATGATCCATTTGATCTCCATATTCTAGAATGGCCCACGACAACACTGTCGCCGTAAAAGCCATCGGAAAACCAAATTTTATGTGATCCCCAGCATCAAACATTCCTTTAGAGAGATCCAGCTCGGCTTGGCTCCCATCCTTAAGACCCGAATCCCCTCTCCAAGGTATTTTGTTGTTGACTAACTTCCCAGCTGCATGCCGAGGAAACACAATTGTTAACCAACACACCATCACTTACAGAATAATCGCTAATAGAAACTAAAGAGTCTAATAACTAAATCATATGGGGCATTAGCATACCATTAATGCCATAACTAATATACATTAAGAACAACATTGTGAAATATTGAAATAAATAAAAACAGAAAAATACGTAAAAGAGGAGATAGAATGAATTACACTTCTGAATATCGAAGAATTGCAATGAGGTTTTTAGTGCAGTGGCGTATTTTTGATCAACGGCGCCAGGGGGACCGGGAACCGGAGCCGCTTTATCGGAGCCGGAGTGACCGAATTTCTTCTTGACGGTTAAAACAACAGCAACGACGACGATAGCCACAATGACCAACGCGATGCACCAACCCCAACACCCACCTTTGGACTTCGATTTTTCTCCCATTTTTTATTATTAGTATTATTGAAATTGCAAAATGCGCTTCACCACACAGTTCGGGGTCTCGATCTGCGTAATATGCTCAAACCCTAACGCGACGCATTGCTGTCGCTCACGGTATCACTTTCTAAAACGCAATGCCTCCACCTTCTGACAATGACAACCGCTATATTTGGAATGAGGTTCGATTTGGGACAGAACACCAACAACAACCTACTTAACTGACTTTGTGCGAGAATGCGTCTCGTTGAAGTGTTGACCCGACCCGATCCGATCCAGTACGGTGGGGATTAAGAAAATGGAGCGGAAATGGTAGCGACGGCAAAGAATGTTATTCTCGCGGGAGAAACACTTTTGGCTCTGTGTGACGTTTGTCTTTTTTTGATTGGGTAAATGACGAGGATGTGCGTGTGCGAAGAGAGGGTTTTATCGGTGAGAGTGAGGGTATAAAGGTAAAATGATGGAGTTAACATGTGAGTGATGTGATGCCAGCTGCGTCGGTGGGCTTTTGTTGTTAGTTATTGAATTGAAGGGAGGGATCCTTAGATTGGTGTGGGTGGGTGTGCAGTGAGAAGGACCCCCCATCTTCAGCAACCACCCTAAACCATTCCTTTTACTTCAACTTCAATCAAAGCATCCATGCCCTTGCCAAGGGACGGTCACGATCTTGCATGATTTTGATCAAATGAAATTCGAATAAATTAATTATCATTAATTTGAATTGTTCAATTTTTATTTTTTTTCTGTTTCAACAAAACCAATCATTACTATTTTGGTAATCATATCTTCTTAAGATTTAAAACAATTTCTCAATGGAGTATTGTTTGCAATATAGTTTTCTGATTTGTCTTCATGCACAATTTTGCTTGATATTGTAAAACATAATTTTTATTATTATAAAGTTGAACAAGAATTGATTCGTTGTATTTATTTGTTGTTATAGATAATCTAGATTTCGATAATTGTACAAAAATTTTTAGTAGTATTTGAAATTCGATAATTGTCTAAGAGTTTTTAGTGTATAAAAGGTACCTGTAAAGATATTCAGACATTCAAGTCAATGATATTATGATGTGTTGACATTTATATATATTAGTTATCCTATCTTTTTTGTAAATATTACAAAGTATTTATATGATCATGATTGGGTGGTACCATTCGGAGCTTCTTAAGATGGGACTATATTAAGTCCTCTAGTGAACTACAGTATTAAGTCATCTTGTGTATTACAATATATATGTCCTTGAAGTCCAAGTTAATCGTTATAAAATATTATGACATGTTCATCGAGTGTTTGGATGTTATGCGACAACGGAGGGCTTAGTAGTTTGTCGATCACCCATGTCACCACACCGCAACTACCTGTCGTCCAGGATAAGCTTGGTTTTCTTGGGTGAGGTGGCACGGGAAAGAAATTGCATGAATTTTTGAAATGATTTCCCGTGCTCTCATACCCTTGTTAACGTGAGTTGTTGATTTAAAGAAGATCAACTGTTAGGATTGAATGAGGGTCTCATTTGCGTATCTATATAATGGGGTGCCTAAGGGCATTTCCTACATTCTCTTACCTTGTGATATCTTGCTTTTAGAAGTGTTCCGCCTTATTCCATTTTTTCTCTCGTCATCCTATCAGTTATCGCTCTTTCTTTATTAAGGTAAACATGACTTACTATTTCCTTTTTTCGTCCTTTGATTCCGAGAAGTCTGCGGTTGAGTTATCGGTGGGGTGGAAGGTGTGTTGGTCAACCATCTAAAAGGGGGCAGTGTGGAACGTGCCTCCTCTGACTCATCGGCTACGACTACTGATGACCTGGTCGTTGTTGGGAATTGTTCATCCTCTGGTAATGTTGTTAAAAGTATTGATGTCGACCAGGTTGTTGACGATCTATCCGAGTGCGAGGGTTATGACTGAGTGGATCATCTCGTATGCAACTACTACTCGAAGTATCAATAGCGAGCTTGTTGAAGTTGCATATTGAGTACCAGGATCTATTATTTGAGGATGCTTTGGTAATGTTTGCTACTGCCAGAAAGGTGGTGCGAAATACTTTTATATATATATGTTGAATTATTGGCAAGCGTACCAAAATTATCAATCGCAGTATAGTATTTCAATTAAATAAAAGTCGATCCCACGAGGAACAGTTTCAATGGAAATTCCCAATTATGCTTACTAAGTAGATTAAAAAGATTGGGTTTTGCAAATAAGAGTTGAATTGAAATTAAATTACAAAGAACTGTAAATTGTTGAGAAAATATCAATTAAAGGTACTTAGGATTGACTTCCTTCCTTATCCCTCTTTTGTAATGGCTATGCCAATTAAAAACGTCAATTAACCTAACAATGTTGATGTCACCTACTTAAATCATCCATGTTGATTCCTCACACATGAAATTCATAAGAAAACATAATAAATGTTGATTCCTCACACAATTAAGAGATTTTCTAGCATTAGGGTTAGGATGTTAAGCAATTAATACATTCATTTCATTCCTGGCAATTAACGTAACAAATATTTTTACCGTGATCTAGGGTTCAAGATATATTTTCTAATCATATCTCAAACAATCAAGAATAAATCATTCCAAATCATAAAGGATAAGAATAACAACATCAAAGCATAGATTAATATCTCAAAACATCACCATGATACAAAAGAGTTCAAAGGAAGTGCACCTAATCCTAAGAGAATGAAGTTAGTCACTCATGTTGGTCATTACAATGCTCTAATTGATGAAGAAGTGAAGAATTGATGAAGATTAGACAAAACTCTAACAGTAGTCGTGCCTCCTCCTCTCTAAGACTGCTTCCTTTTCTCAAAATACATCTTCTCTTTAAATTGGAAAAATTTGGGCTTTTGGGCTTCGCGTCTTTCGCTCGAGCGAGAACTTTCCCTCAAGCGAAAGTAGCCTGTTTTCGCTCAAGCGACAAAACGCTCGCTTGAGCGAATAAACTCCAGAGAAGAATAACTAACATTCGTTCAAGCGAATTTTCCTGCGCTTGAGCGACTGACTTCCAGAGAAGAATAACTGATATTCGCTTGAGCGAGTCTTGACTCGCTTGAGTGAGTGAATTCCAGAGAAGAATAACTAACATTCGCTCAAGCGAGAATCCATCCTGCTCAAGCGACTTTCATGCTGAAAATCTTCTTCCTTTTTCCAGTTTTACTCCAATTCTGCTATCAATCATGCTCCTTACTCTTGTATCAAGGTATTCTTGAATTCATCCTATATTGAGAGAAAAATAGATTAGAATTAGAAATAGTTAAGTGGTTTCATAATAATTCAAAGTATAATTATATCAATTTTTTACCACTTAACAACTCTCCCCAACCTAGAATCTTGTTTGTCCCAAGCAAAGTAGTTTTTCCAAAACAAAACCATCGCCTATTATCACATTCTCTTCCAGAACCACAACATAAAAATTTTCAGAGGTGATGCTCACAACTCCAAATGAAAATAGAACACATAAGCATTCAAGTTATAGAAACCAACAAAGAATAATTTGTCCTCAACTATCCTCAGAGAAGTATGATGTCTCAAATAGAGTTATATATACCCATCTCTAATTCTCACAGGTAAGTGTTTATCTCATTCAATCACTTCATTTAGACAATCCAATATTGATAATCATCTTCAAGCAATCAACATTTGTTAAGCAAGACTTAAATCAAAAGGTCTTTTGAGGCTTGTAACGGGGCTGGGCTAAGAAAGAATCATTGGTTTTTCTGGGATACACAAAAATATTTGAGAAATTCAACTCATATGAATGATTCTTGATTAACAATTCCTCAAGTCAGGTTCCAAACTTCATGTTTTTGTCCCTAACACAATGACAGTGAGTTAATAATCTCACAAGTTATTATTCTCCCCTTGAACTACTTTTATACTTTTTTTTTTCATGCTTTTGCATGTATTCTTTTTGGCTTTGTCAATTTTTAAGCTTTGTTTTTCCTTTTCCTTTACACCCAGTGGTGGATCTTGACCATTGATATTGGGAGGGCCAAATAATATATTATTAATAAATAATAAATAAATATAAAAAGAAACAAAAATATGAAAAGGTAAAAAGATAAAATTGTAGATATATACTTAAATGATAATTAAGTTTGAGGGAAACAAAATCATAAATTATATGAGAGTTACAAAAGCGAGGAGAGAGTTGAGAGGATAAAATTATAAATATACAAGTAAATATATTAAATGTTCATTAGGTTTGGGGGGGCCAAAATCATAAATTACATGGGAGTTACAAAACTTTGGGGGGGCCACGGCCCCTCAACTCCCAAGAAGATCCGCCACTGTTTACACCTTTTTTTTAATAACACCCCAATAATACTTGTAGGACAACAATAGCAATACTCAACAATAAGAAAAATAGTGACATTCATACTCATTTCCTTTCTCAAATATAAGAAGGTAGATAAATAGTGTCTAGGCTTAAGGGTTCTGTTTAAGAAACAATATTATTTTGGCTCAGAAGAGGTTCAAATGGATGTCCTATAATTAATGCAGGGTTGGCTATTTGACTCTGGGTTATATCTACTACAAAGAAAAAAATGCCTTTATCATTTTCAAGTCTTACCAACATGTAATCAAATCAAAGAATCAACAAATATCAGTTATCAATCATAAAGTGTTGACACTCAATTTATCTGTTTTTGGTACTCTACTCACCTGGGTTTTGGCTAGCTTCTCCAATTCAGTTACTTCCTAATTCTCCTTATCAATTCCTTTTCACTATCATACTCAATATCCCAAAATCACTTGTTATTGGAAACAATCAAAATGATTTTCTTCAGTTCCATATTTGAATTAGAAAATAAGCAATAATCTCATATATGACTCTAAAACAAATTATGGGACAACAAGGGAATTCAAAATTTAAAATAAAGCAATTAAAAACATTAAATTAAAAATAAAGGAATTAAAAACATTAAAAACAAAGTAAGTTTCTTCCCTCATTTTCTTTACTTGTTATCTACTCCTTATCTTGTGTCTCAGCT